ATATTTTGTAGTATTAAAATTGAAAATATATTTACCCGGATACTATATTAACGTAACTACCTGTATGACGTAAATTATTGCCTACATTTATCTTTTTACACAATAATAATGTGTAAATGAAATGAAAAATATTTATTCCAATACGTTACAAAAACTCGAAGATGGTTAACACTGATGAAAATTCTCAAAGTGCCTTACAGTTAATTAAATATATACATATGTAGATATTTTAGTATTTATACAATTTTTATTTAATTGGTTAAGAGATGATTCGTGAATTAGTCGTCTTCCTTTTTTACTTTCGTTAAAAAATGCTTCCATTTATTTTTACATGTGCTTATACAAATTTTGAATAAAATACATTTACTTTTTCTTATTAAAATGTTTATAAATGCTTTTTCTTGGTAATTTTTTATTGGGATTTAATCGTATGGATATATCTGCTGGATAGAATACAAATTGGCTAAAACAAAAAATTCTATCCTCATTGCTAATATTTTCTTTAAATATTCTCTATTACCCTTACAATTGGATAAATGCTGTTAGTTGGTATGTGAAGTATTGTATTGTATTTAAAATGGCTAATCCAATGTTTAGCCTGCGTGCCCATTATATCTGAAAAAATTCCAATGCTTGCTTAAATTAATTTAAATTTTTCCCGATATACCAAATGTAAAAGTTAAAAGCTACGTAATAAATATTTTGAAAAACAAGTTTTGATTGTTTGTTAATCAAGTCGCCCTAATCCTGTCTTGAATGCAATTTTAAATGAACAAAAACTGTGCGTATTAGCCTAAGTTAACTCAAACATCCACAAAAATGACGAAATAAGATTTCAATAAAAATCTCGTATCTCTGTTCCAAGAAATATTCCATATTCGCTAGGTACCCATAACCGATGTAATGAATACTTCCGTTACAGAACTCTCTTTACACATCGATAATTGTACACCCCTTATACGACGACAGAATATCAATTTGTACTTTACGCGAGAGTATGTTACGTACTATAGAAGGAAACTGCTCAAGAGCAGTATATTAAAGAAAATGCGTGTACTTTTTTATTTATTTATAATTAATTGCCGCGACGGCAAAGCCGAGGGTTAAAATATTCGATTTTGACAGCGCGTTAGTAAAAGCAACGTAAGTATAGTTTTCCTGAAAAAAAATTGAAGCGAGATATTAAATGCTTGTACATATAGATGTAAGTAATAATAATACATTAATTTATTTTCCATTTAGTTTCTTTTGTGATATCCATAAATTTGTTATTAGAAGATCAATACTGCTTCTCACGCCTTTTTAAATGCGTAGGAAAATAACCATTATCATTTCCATTCAGATGTTGCCAATACGTTTGTTAAATTTCGTCATAAATTCATTGGACAACGATTTAGAGCATTTATAGTTTTCGGTCATTAGTTGTGTTTGATGAAACAAAATTAATAGTTAATTTTATTACAAATTTTATTTAATTGACAAAATGAAAATACTGTGCATTTCAAAAAATAAAAATAATTTAGGTTTGTAAAGGTCTAAAACAAGTAAAAATGGCTAATATAGTGAAATGTTATAGAAAAATTATATACAACGCCATCAAAAATGTTAAGAGTGATTCCAATCTGTTATCTTAAAACATAGTGTGTAAGGCGCCTCCTCGCAAAACAACTCACCATGAGGACAAAATAATTGTTAGAAAATGTAAAACTGATCCATTGCAGAGTTTGGCTTAAAGGTGTCAAGTAGAGTATTGCGGAGACATTTAGGCGAAGTTAATTTATTTGGGCGTGTAAGCATAAAAAAACCACCACTATCGAAAAAAAAAGTTATAGTCCGATTGGCATTCGGTCATAGTCACAGATCAAAAGCTAAAATTTAAATTTGTGGAAAATTATAGTTTTTGTGGATGAAACGGTTCTGATGGAAAAACATTTGTACATCAAAAGAAAAAACAAGAAGACAATCCAAGATATATGAAAAAGACCGCAAAGTACGGTTGAGGAAAATGAAATGTTTGTGAGTTTGTCCACTACGAAGAGAATACGGAAAAATTGGAATCTTAATATACTAACAATAAATTGGATTTTTATGCACGATAACAATCCTTAGCATATTGGAAAGGAAATCAAAAACTGCCAAACGCAAAAAAAAAAAACTTCCAATTATTGGTTCTGAATCCGCATCGAAAGCAAATTCGTTGCGGAAAGAATTTTCGATCGAAAATGTTCATGCGATCATTGATACCGCCGATAACCTGCGTTAAAATGGATACTATTGCATTATATTTAAGTGATAATGATGATGAAAATAGTGTAAGCATTCGTCGTGAGCGCATAAATTTGAGGAATATTTCAAAAGACGTGTTGGAAATGGATGACTATAAGTGAGTTAAACTATTTAAGCTAAAAAAAAACAACATTTTATATACATGTGTATGCATGTATATACGCAGTTTCATCAAAAATTTTCGGATCAACATAAGGACATTTACATATATACATTTTGGGGAAATGCCAAAAGGAATTTGGAAATGACAAAAGACAAGGTTTTCTCTCCAAAAATAATACTTTCTGCATGTCTACGTTTCTTAGTCACATTCAGTTATCAACATTGTATTGGAAAGGACTTCAATGTAAATATGGCCTAATCAACATTTTGTGTTCTATTAGATGAAGTACTCAACATTCTTGAGTACAGGCTATGTTCAAGATGGATTTCCAATGAAATGAACGCCAGCGAGGAATTAGAAGCAAAAACATATTTTTTGGAAAATCAAAAATTCCTGGTGTGGCAATGGCAGTTGATGGAACTCACGTAAAGATAATGGCACCGTCAAGAGATAAACATCTGTATTTTAACCGCAAAGGATTCTTAAGAATGAATGTTATGGTGGTTAGGCTTTTTCAAAATTAACTTTTCAGTCAGTATTCTATATACATATACATATGTTTTTCGTATGTAGATGTGCGACCACAAGATGCAAATACGATACGTTTGTGCTAAGTATCCCGGCAGTAGTCATGATTCTCACATATAGGATATGAGTGATTTGAGTTTGTCGGTTGATTTTTGTTTCTTCTCTCTAAATTAGACATTTAAAACATAATTTAATGCGTTCTCAGGTATTTGCTTACATAAATACTTACAAAATGCTCCATTTTTGCCAATTTACGCAGTTCACTGATCAACGGATAGATTTCGACAAATATTTTCGATTTTAAGCACCACCTATTAGCCACGGAATATATTTTATCGAGTCGGTAAGTAAGATCAACTGCATCGAAAACTGAATTTTCGTTACGGTTTCAATGTAATAATTTTCGATCGAATTCTCAAGTTTTTCGATCGAAACGGATTCAATAATTAGACTCATTGATTCGCAAGCGCAACGTCTAGATCTGAACTCTATCCAAAACTTGTGGAATGAAGTCAAAGGAAAAATTGAGCAAAAAAAATGACAAATTGCAACGAGCTTTGGGCAGGAGTAGAGGAAGCATGGAACCCATTCTTTTGGACAGATGCCAAAGGTGATTAAGAATAACGGTTATTTCACAAAATATTAACCATGGTGAATCTAATATAATATAAACAAATTTCCCGCCACTTATTAATAATATTTTTTTTTTGCCTTAGAGATCCTTTAAAATAAATACTTGTCCTAAGTTCCACTTAGGAATGTAAATTGAACCAAACATTATATATTTATTATAAGAAACGAAGTTTTTGAATTATTTTAGTTTTTAGTGAATTAATAAATAGCTTTTGTGTAATATAAGGGGTTTACCTTCTTTAACTATAACATTATTAAGTATTGCATTAAACAATAAGAAAGTGAGCTAAATCTCTATCCTAGCTACATACATATGTGTATGTATCGTCGATACGGAGCGCATTTTCTCTTACAAAAGACTTTTCAAAAATTAGTTGTGATGTGTTTTTCTTATGGATTTTCTGTTGACATTGCGATGATTTTGTGTTATTCACAATCTATTCAGTTATCGCTCTAAAAACTCATTTTCATTCGGTGAAATCTTTTAAAAGTTTATTTTTGAATCATAAAAACAAATTACAAAGAAAACGGTTAATTTTGCCATTATGGATCCAATTACTTTTGACAAATTGTTATTTTTGGGGCTATTAACCGAACCTTATATAATTGAATCATAAGTAAATTTGAAAGTAAAATTATTGAAGAATTCATAAAGAATTTAAAGAGCAAGTATGATTATATTTTATTATTTGTTGCTTAACTCATTTAAACAGACCAATTCTGGACAATTATTCAATTATAGACGTTCGTATTTTTCTTATACCGTTGCTTCAGCTTCAAGTTAAAATCACTTCAAATGCGTTTTTCATAATTACCGGGACCCAGGAAACGGAAAGTTTATAGTAATGTTCCATCATCTCATTTAGTAATCAGAAACAAAGCATGCAAGATAATCGCTGAGAGATTTGTAAAGTATTCCAATAGAATAATAGCTGAAATAGCGGAGCTAATGTAAACATTAATAGAAATACTTACAAATATATTAATTTGCATGTTTTGTAACATTAGTAAACAGCTTATTGAATATTGGTTTTTCGTATGTTCTAAAAGACGAAATACAACAGATTCTATGATACCTTGGAAAATCAGAATCAGAATTGTTTTGAATAACTCCTTTCATTACATTAATCTAAATAATTTAAAAGTATGAAAATGAAAATAACCTGAACTTCAGCTATAAAATCCTTCACAAAACAAGTAAGAAAGACTAAGTTCGGGTGTCACCGAACATTTTATACTCTCGCATGACAAGTTTCATCAAGATGTCTCAATTCTTACTCAAGTTACAGCTTACACGGACGGATAGACAGACATCCGGATTTCAACTCTACTCGTCACCCTGATCACTTTGGTATATGTAACCATATATCTGACGATTTATACCGTTATTAGCAACATTATTGCGAGAGAATAAAAATGATGCCTTCTGAATTAAGTGAAAATATCTGAGAGATTTACCGATATTTTCGGTGAAAAATTAGGTTAGGCACTGAGTTCTTCGTGTTCCATATCAGGGACCTTGAAAAGTTATAGTTCACGGCAATTTTTCCACAAGGGATACCTCAGCTCAAATACCGTATTTGTGTAAAGTTTTATTCCGCTATCATCTTTGGTTCCTAATGTATATACATATTATACAGAGAAGGCATCAAAAGGAATTCAAAATAGTGTTATATTGGAAGAAGGCGTGGTTGTTAACCGATTACATGTCATCAGGGTGTTAAGAAAATATTACATAC